AAGGTTTCCATAATTTTGGCCACTACTGTACCAATAGTAATAGCATTTAGACTTACATACCATCCCCATAGTGCTTTACAGCACTTTCTGGGCAGTGCAATGTAAGTATTATTTGCTTATTGCCCCCAACAGTCTGGATCCTCATTTTACCAACCTTGGAATGATGGAAGGCTGAGTTATCCATGAGTCCCATCATGATCAAACTCCAGGCTATGGGCAGAGTTTGCCTGCAATACTGCATTTTAATCAGTGCACCATCAGGACTACCCTAACCCTAATCAGAACTTGTTTCTGAATTAAACTTTGCTAATCAGAAGTTGTTTCCGAGTTTAATAATTTCCAATCCTGACTGCTATTAGAAAGCAATAATTTTAACTAAGCTTTACTCCCTCTACTACAAAACAACCTTGCTTCAAAGTTATGGCCTCTGGTCATAGTGAACTAACCTCTTGCTATGCAACTCAATGCTGAATGGATTGAAAGTATGTTGTTTCAGCATAAGAATCAGGTGGCCTGCAGCTACTCAGATTATCCATTTCACTCAATCACCCAGAAGATATAGGAAATGAGATTTAATTGTGGACTCTTGAAAGATGGAGTTGCAAAATGGTCTATTTCTATTATTGACTCTATTAACCCTGCTCTGGACAATTAAATCTATTTTCTACTTAAACTGAGATCTGCCTTTTTTAGACTCTGCCAGAAAAGCAACAAGATAAATTGCAAAATACTGTATAGGCATTTATAGCTGCTTGCTTCAACATTACTTTAGAGAGAAATGTTAGCTGGAATGAACTAGCTTTACTTGACCAGTTTAAAGACCTGTGTGCAAGATGACCCTTTCAGCAAGGCACTCCAGATACCTTTGAGGAGGTACATAATTATTCAGTGCTGTCTATCCCTAGATAGACAGCAAGAAGAACTAAGGCAAACAGCTGATGAAAAGCTGTTCTGTATTTCCTCTTTCTTTCACATCAGCTTCTTCAGTGGATTGTTATTGTTCAGTCACTAAGTCATGTGTCTGACTCTTCCCGATTCCATGAACCACAGCATGCCAGGACCCCTGTTCTCCACTGTCTCCCAGAATCTGCCCAAATTCATGCCCACTGCATTGATGATAGTGTCTAACCATCTCATTCTCTGCTGTCCCCTTCTCCTTTTGCCTTCAGTCATTCCCAACATCAGGGTCTTTTCCGATGAGTCCTATAGCTTCTTCAGTAATCAACTATGTAACTGGAAGTAGTCGTCAGTTATTGTCAGCTACAGAAAAACAACACAGAAACTCATTGGTGTCTTACAATCTTCACATCTCCTGTCTTTATTGGAAGGAAGAAAAATTCAAAGTGGAATAGGACAATCAAAGTAGAACATCTGATTTGCTAGAATCATCCAGATGCTAGGAAACAGGAGACTTATCTATTGTATGCACCCCATCTTCAATATTTTTTTCAGTACCCATAGAAACCTACTTTTCCTAATTGGCCTTTCTACCCACCACCCCAAGGTGTCTTCAATAGGAAGAGAGTGATTTGGGACATCAAAATGAGAGTGCAGGAGTGTTACAAAACTTACTTTTTCCCTGCCTGCATCCTCAGAACAGGAGGGGCTTGATATTGAATGAAAATTAGACATTCATTCTCTGCCTTCATTCTGTTTTTAACTGATATGGATGTTTTTCAAACACTAATCTAGGACCAACTTATAACTAAGTTAAACCTAGATCCTAGATCTAAGCTAAAAACAACCTAAAACTAGAGAGAAATTAACCGACAATTAGGACAATTATCAGTGGAATGACTTGCCTCCAGAAGTTGTGGGTGCTCCAACACTGGAGGTTTTTAAGAAGAGATTGGGCAACTATTTGAGCAGGAGGCTGAACTAGAAGACCTTCAAAGTCCCTTCCAACTCTGTTATTCTGTTACGGTACTATCCTTCCATTAGATTCAGGGAGAATGGTCCTAAATAGGGCAAATGGCTTCATAGGGAGAGCTGAAAACCCTCCTGCCTGCAAATGCTCCTCAAGAAAAGGAAAAGTACTGCTGATGCATATTTTGTTGTTGTTCCAGACTGCCCTAAAGGTCAGAGTGACCTAAAGGTCTAGTAAGTAAGTTTACTTTTGGAGTCAAAAATTACCAGTGCTTCCAGGCTCCCCAAAGCATCTGAAATTGTTTCCTTTGTGTTCGAACTTCAGGCAGACTAAGGCGGGTTGGATAGATCATTACTTCTGTTTAAATAATATGTCCAATAATTTGATTTTAAGGTTCATGCTTTCCATTGTAAACAAAGGAAAATAATACACCACTTTCTTAACTCTGGGTGAGGCACGGGCAATATAGAAAACTGTTTTCAAGAATGCTGTGCTTGATCAAAAGTTTAAGTCTGTAAATATTGGAGATGGAATGCACATATCTTCGTACAACACTCTAGTTAATTTTTTGCTTTTTTTACTACATATTCATTGCCCCGGCATTCCAAACCAGCATAACCAACCAAGATCTCAGCTTATGTGTAAGACTCGTGTAACAAAACATCATGTTTTAGTACATCTGAGTCTTTGCCATAAACTATGCTAAAATCTTCAGTTAGTTATTTTGTCAGTAAAATCATACGAGTTTCCAAAATTCAGACAACTAGTGGACATGTCAAAATAAACACTTTGGAGGATATCAATTTAAGTGGAGCCCAGTCAAAGCCCATGTAGAAATGTGAATCTTAAACTTTCTTCCTAAACTCATCATAAAATCTAATTATGTAGTTTTATGTCTAATTATGTGTTTTAAAATCATATCTAAGAATCCAAGGTCAAAAATGTTGGTCTAGACAGAGAGGTGTTAAAAGCAGATAGATGTTCTCAAGTTAAATCGTATAGCTTTTTAAAAAATAGAATACAGGCAGTCATTGTTTAGCGACTGCCTCAGATACCAACTGAGTGATGAAAAAGTACATTTGTGACCAATCTTTTGCATTTATGATCTTCTCAAGTCTATAAAGCAAAGGAAAACTGAAGTAAGATAATAAGCACAGTTGCAGTTTCACTTAATGACTGCTTCACAGTTCCCAATTGTGGTCACTAACTAAGGACTACATGTGTTGGAGAAATAAATTTGTTTCGACTCTCATGTTTTCTTATGGTTGTAGTGATAATAGTTTTGTTGAATCATTCTTATACTTTTTCTTCATTGGGCTCTTTCAGGATAAGAAATGTACAAAAATAAAATAGTCAATAATAATAAATGCAGGGGACTTGTCCAGACATTCTCCAGGGGTCAACATGGAAGGAAGGAAGGACAGTATCTTCTGTAGCAATTTTTTTTTAAAAAAAATGTTTGTTTACAGAACTTCAAAAGGGAATCTTGTGTTTTCTAAGACTTGGTTAATATTGTAAAATGCCTGTTTTGAATATATTGAGAATTACCCATGAAAAAGCAATGGCATTCAGATGAAAGTGCTTAGATTTGTGAGAATAATGCTTTTGCATTTAAAATTTCTCAGGCACTAATTCCTGAACCGTTGCACCTTTTCCCAGTTCGCTAATACCGTTTACTGATAACTTCCACTAGTCCTCCAGTCCTCAATAAATATACAGTTTATCCTATTTAAATGGTGGGGATCTATATGCAAGAAAATCTTGTACATTGGATACTTGAACTTGAAAATTACAAAATCTTTGCAACATTTGGAAGCATTACTTCTTGTTGTAAAAAAGCACTACTCAATATTTTTTTTCTGTTTTGCAGGTATAATCTTGAATTGAATAGCATACACACACACACATACACACACACACACACATATATATATGTATATGTATATGTATACAGATACACACTAGTTGGATACCCGTGCTTCGCTACGAAACAATATGATGGGGCTTGATAAATCGACACTTACAGCTTGACAATTAATGAGTAGTTACGATTGGCCTCTCCTCTCCCCTTCTCTCCCTCAGTCTTGCTCCACAGAACCGTATCCTATCCTATCCTATCCCCTTCTCTCCCTCAGCCTTGCCCCTCCGAAGGCTCCCCTATCCCCTGGTTGCTGCTGTGAAAGTAAAACTGAAAGTGAAACTCCTCTGCTTGTGTTTTGCATTTGGAATAGATTTCTTTTCAGGTGGGGAAGGGGAGTAGAACTCCTTAGCATCAGAGGGCTGTTTGGAAAGTGAAACAATATTTGCTGTGTGAGCAAGAAGGAGACAGGAAGGAGCCTGGCTGGCTTAGGTCAAGTGTTCTGTATTAAAGCTGCTTCCTGCTGTGAAAGTAAAACTGAAAGTGAAACTCCTCTGCTTGTGTTTTGCATTTGGAACAGATTTCAGGTGGGGAGGGGGAGTAGAACTCCTTAGCTCCTTAACACTCTCTCCTCAGAGAGTGTTAATAATAATATAGGAAATACTAATGCTCTGATGGTCATTTCATAAAACCCTTTCTTAGTGAGCACCTAGAAGCCAAGAGGAACATATGTGGCAAATTTCAAGTTTGTAGGCTTTACAGTTCTGGAGATTTTGTGATTATGGCGTGAGTAGTTTTCGCTTTTATATATATAGATAGCATTGCTGCTTTTTAAAACACACCCACATGGTAGAAGTTCTACCTTGCAAGCAACTTTTATGAATTGGCTTCACAAGATTGCATCATGGTGAAGATTTTCTAAATTTTGTGGGGAGCCACTACAAAAAAAAAGTATGGAATTTCCTCTGTTACATTCTGTGTGTTTCATGACGCTGCAGTTCCTAGGATAGAACTGTGATCTTTTCAAATATTGTAATAGAAAGTTGGTGTAAATAAACTTTTATTTATTACCCACGTTTAGAGCATTTTTAATCTTAGAAACTTAATCTAAATACTTATTGATATATAATCCATCAGAATGGTACAGATCTCTCAGACTTTATAAATAGGTAGCCACTGGTCCTATGTGCAATCTTTTCTGTAGTTAGGATAAAGTATTGTGGTTTTGATGGAACTAGCTATGTTGGAACTAACTGTATTTCCTTTTTATTTCAGCTCAGATTGGGTAGAAATTATTGAGCCCCGTTCTAGGGAGCGAATGTACGTCAATTTGACAACTGGAGAGTGTGGTTGGGATCCACCACCTAATCTCAGAGTTCGGCAGTCTGATGAAAACCAGTGGTGGGAACTCTTTGATCAAAACAACAATCGTTTCTATTATTATAATGCCATCACTCAGCAGACTGTGTGGCACAGGCCTCAGGGTTGTGACATTGTGCCACTAGCTCAGCTCCAAGCCATGAAACGTAATTCCCAGTCTGATTTCAGGACATCACAGCACAGGAACAGTACAAGTAGTGAGGGACGAAATACTCCTATCCAGATAACTCTTCTACAGGACATGGAGAACAGTAAAGACAACATCAGTCTCGAGAAGAGGCCAGAAACTGAAAGGTAAATCATTTTCAAATTTGTCTATTTTGTTTTTCTCTTTTTTATAGCTATATAGGGAAGAGGGAGAAACATCCTTGTTTTAAAATGAAACACATAATACTAGAAATAGTTTTGGCTACTTAGTGTAAAAAACAAATAGATAAGTAGAGAGCCAGTTAAGTTTAGTGGATAAAGCAGCAGGCTAGAAAGTGAAAGATTATAATTTCAAGTCCCATTTTAGCCATGAAAGCCAGCTGGATGACTTTGGGCCCGTCAATCTTTCTCCACCCATGATATCAGGCTCAAGCTGCAAGCCAGTTAGCATCTCAGAAATATCAATGGAAGGGTTAATGAGTATCCGGTTTTTAAAAATTTGCCACCTGACAAAAATAATTTTACAGCAAATAACTTACTCTTAGTTCTTGATTAAAACACTATTTCAAATTGAAATCATCCAGACTTCTCAGTGTTGCTGCTTGCCATAAGATTGTAAGTACATAGGAACAAAATCCCAAGTCATACTCCCTTTTCCCAAGAAAAGAATGTTATAGCCAGCTTTTACATGTCTTCGTTACCAATCAGAGAAGCATAATAGAATTGCCGCCTGAAACATCGGTATTTTCTTTTTTAAAAAATGTTTTTGGATTTTCTGATTCTAAAAGTCAGCAGATATATTGAAAAGATCTAAAAACATGCCAAGATTCCAGTAGTAGAATTACTTTTTCACAAACCAAAACCAAAATAACCTTTCTGGTATATCCTAATCCTCTCATCTTGATTTTTAACACATCTCATGTTAATTTTTCTACCACAACAATTTTTCTTAGCTTTTTAATACTGAAGATGTAAAACTGATGTCTCTATGTTGTGTTTTTCCAATATTGTACTATAGCTAAAAGGTTCCCCTCACACATATGTGCTAGTCGTTCCCAACTCTAGGGGGAGGTGCTCATCTCCGTTTCAAAGCTTGAAGAGCCAGCGCTGTCGGAAGACGTCTCCATGGTCATGTGGCTGGCATGTCTAAATGCCAAAGGCGGACGGAATGCTTGTCCCTATTTTTCTACTTGCATTTTTTACTTTCAAGCTGCTAGGTTGGCAGAAGCTGGGACAAGTAACGGGTGCTCACCCCATTACGTGGAACTAGGGATTTGAACTGCTGAACTGCCAAACTTTCGATCGACAAGCTCAGTGTCTTAGCCACTGAGCCACCACATCCCTTATACTATAGCTAGCCTTGCTCAAATCATTAAGAATTGAACAGTTATCTTTCCTCACTAATGTCAGTAAACATATTTCAGAAACATAACTAAATTTTCCTATATCCATACTATTAATCCCTCTAATCATTTTTTATCAGAATCTTTGTACTACTTCAGAGTACCACTGTATGTGGTAGATGCCCTTTGCTTTACCACACTTCCAACATTTATTTGAGTCTTTCCCAGTAATTTTACTTACTTATGCTGGCATAAGTTAATAATTACTTAATAATTTTCCCAGTTTAGTAATTTCTCATACTCCTCATTCATAATGCTGGGTTCTTCCAAAGTGTACTCATTGTGTGTCAGACATATCTTAAATCTGATTCCTGTATTTTTTTCAGAGTTGTTATATGTTTTGAAAATTAAACATTTAGAGGACTTTGAAAGCTCTAACATAAGATTTTCAAAAGCTTTTAAAAGTTGCAGTACTGTCATGTTACAAATTCTAGTTGTTTCTAATAATATTAATGCCAGGAAAATAGAAATGAATTCATTCACTGGGAATGAAGATATAGTCCAACAATTTGAAGGGCACTAAGATAAAAGAAGCTTTCTTGAAACCTATTTTCCTGATATCATTAGACTACCTGCAAAATGTTCATGAGATCATCACTTTTTCACCCATAGTTACATTTTTTTAATTTGGTTATTTCAGGCATAGTTTAAAATCTACAATGCTAACTCTTTCTAATAAATTAAAAGTTCTTGAAGGCAACTGCAATGAAGAAATTGTATTTTTTCTAAGGCTGAACATTTAAGAAAGCTAAATGGCTGCATTGCCAAGACCAAAGATAATGTTTACTTACAATCATCTTTTTTATTGCCATTCCCTTTATGTGATTATAGGACACACTGTATTCCTTAAAAGTAATTTATATTTTCCCATGTGGGAACTAGCCTTCCTTGAATGATAGGGTAAATCATTTTCAGAGATAAAGTGCAGGAGCCGAATAACTATTATAATTGTTGTTGATTTTCTTGACCAATATTGCATAGAACAGTTTTGCCAAGCATATATAATTACCATGCTGACTTGAAATATATAAGTTTATAGTTCTATTGCATCTGGAAATAGATTGAAATAGAGATAAATAATAATAAAGTTAAAATAATTTATTTCCACATTGCTGAAAAGGAAGGATTGATCCTCTTCCCTTTGGTATTTCACAGAAAGAGAAAAATGTGATTTGAAAATCAGCCAAAGATCAGTCCTTGATCCCAAAGTTGGGTTCTTAAAAGATTGTTTTTAATAGTTTCCAAAGCAAAAGTCAATTTTTTTAGAATGCCAATATATCACATAAATGGAAAAAAATCCTGGCAACTGATCTCTGCACAGAATTGTACAGAGGATGTAGTTACATTTCATCAAAACCTTTCGTAGCATATACAGTTAATCCTCAATTTAGTCATTTAGTGACTGTTACGATGGACCCCCTAAAAGCAACTTACAACAAGTTTCAAAGTTCCAATGTCGCCTCCCCTCCATGATCAGGTGGCCAAATTTTGGATGCTCAGCAACCAGCCCACATTTACTTCTGGTTTCTGGCAAAAACTGTCCTATAGTGAACATTTATGCTTAATGACCACAGTTCTACCACCACATTCATTTAATGACTGCCTCAAAAAAGATTGTAAAATTGGGTGCAGTCACATAGTGATCTGTTTTATGACCACCACAACTTATAACCGTAGTTGGGCTTAATTATGGTTGTAAATCAAGGACTACCTGTATATCATGTGACTAGGTGTATTGTATGTTCATATATGATTTTATATCAAGCCCATGTTAAAATCACATAATGCTTAAATGTTACTTTTTATTTAGACCTCCATTCTGAAAAAGCTAAGCATGGTCAGAGCTAATATTAGTACTCGGATGGGCAGGATCAGGAAATTCCAAAGCTATAGACTAGATTGGGAAGTTGAAATAACAGATCAGAAGAAAACAGTGGCAAACTACTTCCACATTATTTCTAGGAAAACAGTAAAATATATCCATTGTCATTGCACTGATAATATTTGCAGCATGTGGCAAGTATTCCTGATTGCATTTCCCAATTTTAATATTGAGCCTGGAACTGCCCTATCTATTGCTTAAAGGAAAATAAACAGAACTATATAGTAAGATATTGATAAAGCACAACTGATATAGAAGTACAAACAAAATACTAGAAAGCCTTAATATGGAAGTTTCATATAATCCATTTGACCAGCTGTCCATAACATTTTAACTATCATCTGATAATGAACAAAGGCAGCTATTCAAAACTGATGGAGCACCTGTCTAGTAATCATGCATAACACAAGCTCTTTTGCAGTATATCTCGGGTTGGCACCTATGACATATTTTTCTAACAGAAAGCTGGCAAGACCTAACAGAACTGCAGATGCAGGCAGCCCTGCTTTCTCCTATTAGTACTGGGATGCATCTGTTCTAACCTGTCAATTTGTTGTTGCATGAATAACTCTCCAATTACAACAACATGATAGGTTGAAAAAGCTAGTAGAGAGCAACTTTAATAGAGGAGGAAAAAAGTAGTGCTTAAAATAGAAAGACGGCAGGCTAAAAATGTTGTGCAAGTAAAAGCTTGAAAATTGCCTTTATCCCAAGATTTTTGAGAGATAGAAACTCCCCTATATAAGATAACCAATACACTGCCTGTGTAATTTATAATTTATTTTTATATGTGTTTTTTATGAATATCTATCAGACGGGCAGTTAAGGAATCAGCAGCATTAAATGGATTGTAGAGATTATAGTACAACTCCAAGCCACAAATTGCAAGCATTTGGAGAATCCGGTGACAGTTTGTAGAAATGCTGCAGAATCCTTTTTACCTCAAAATGTTTTCCAACTACCTTTTATATTTTCTTTTTCTCAGCACAGAATTTAGACAGTGGAGATTTGTCCAAAATTCAAGAAAATATTTGTAACATATACCCAGTTTGTAATGTAGCACAACAGTGCCATCTAAAGTATCTGGTAAATCATCTCATGCTGAAAAGCTCAAATAGAGGGAATTCGTTCTTTATTTTTCTCCAAAGCCTCTCCCATACAATTCCTTCTAAAACTAGTCATGCTTATCATTTAACCATAGAATTGCTCAGCCACTAGATAATTTTCTGAAATGATGGCTAGACTGGTGAATCAGAGATAGAGCATTTTGCTTGATTGGACAAAGCAGCAGTCATTCTCTAGAAAGAAGAAGGCTTGCAGTTATCCTTCACATTCTAATAGCACTGAAGATACTACTTGGAGAAGAAAAAAAAGCAGGACTTTCTTCTGAAATCCTTGATCTTAACTAACATACAATAGATAATTCAATTATTCCAACTGGATGGATTTTATTTGAATTTTGTGTGTGTGTGTGGTTGTTAACTTCCCATCTTATTTCTATTTTTTTCCTTTCCTCAAATATACTTTTTATAGCTTAAGATTTATCTTAAAATGGCTTAAAGTTGTAATAATTATATAATACTTATTTGGTCAATGACCTGCAACATAAAATAATAAAAGGGGAATAGAATAGAACAAATACAATCGGAATCAGTAAGAAGAAATGATTGTTAAAATTACAGTTAGAAAGATAAAAACTAATACAAACTAACCACAAACTAAAATAAAAAATAGTACAGAAAAAAAAACCAAATAGAAACAAAAATACAAAAGAAATAAAAATAAGAACATACTGAAGAAAAGGAAAAGAATTATAAAAAGTAATAACTTCTCTCTTCATCACAACAAGTATAAATAATTTTAGTAATTTTAGAACCTTGATCAAAGAAACCAACTTCATACAGGTACTCCATGACTTAGAATAGTTCATTTAGTGACCATTCGAAGTTACAAGGGCACTGGAAAAAAAAAACTTATGACACTAATGACCATTACAGCATCTCCATGGTCACATGATCAAAATTCAGACACTTGACAACTAATTCATATTTATGACAATTACAGTGTCCTGAGGTCATGTGATCACCTTTTGTGACCTTCTGACAAGTGAAGTCAATGGGGAAGCCAAATTTACTTAACTGCACTGATTCACTTAACAACTGTGGCAAAAAAAAGTCATAAAATGGGGCAAAACTCACTTAACAAATGTCTCAGCAACAGAAATTTTGGGTTCAATTGTGGTCATAAGTCAAGGACTACCTATATACCTTCCTTTTATTTTTAAAATTTTGATCTTTAATTTCTCAAGTAATGTCCTAGATCAGTGATGGCTATCCTTTTTGCCGTCGCCTGCCAAAAGCGAGGGGAGGGGGGTATCATGCGCATGCGTGCCCATACCCATAATTCAATGCCTCCCCGCACCCCACGTATGCGCACATGATCCTCCCACGCTCCCCCTGCTTTTGGCACGCAATGGGAAAAAGGTTACTGGTAGGCCCGTTTTTCGCCCTCCCCAGGCTCCAGAGGCTTTCTTGGAGCCTGGGGAGGGCTCCACACCCCCGGAGGCCCTCTGGAGGCAGAAATGGCTTGTTTCCCAACTTCCGGTGGGTCCAGGAGGCCTGAAAATCAGCTGGCCGGCTCACACATGCATGCTGGACCTGAGCTAGGGCAACGCTCGCGTGTCCACAGATACGGCTCCACGTGCCACCTGTGGAATCTTGATTCCTTTTCATTTTTTCTTTGTTCCTTCTCAAAAAAAATTTCAAAGCTTTAACAAGTCTCTTGTAAATCCAATATAGGAAAGTTATCCAGATCACTCTTTTTGTTTAATATTTGTATATCTCTTTTCATTATTAAGACATCAGCTGGTTTCTCTTGTATGTACAGTATAGCATCTTTTACCATGTCATTATTGCAGTCTCATTTTTAAATCTATTTTCAGATCAGTTTCAGACTTGCTCCAGTAAAAATTGTTCCTCTTCCATAATAGCTTTTAAAACACAGTCTCTCTAAAGAGGCAGGCACTGTTAACTTAAAATTAACTTCTGAGTCCATTGTTCAAAAATATCCTTAAGTATGTGCACTGTTAAGATATTTTACCCCATATTAGTAAATAAAATGTTCTTTAATTATAATCTTTAGGGTTTTTTTTGAGCTCGTTCTACTTTCAATCCTTCAGTCTCATTGTATCATGTTTTTTTTTAAAGAGAATTCAAAACAAAAACATTTTCCCATGGAAAACATTCTTATAATGAATTCCAAAATCTTATTTCAAATCCTTCTGGACATGTAGTCTGCTTGTAACTTTCTAAAATTAAAGTTCTAATCGCCCTTTTGCTGTTTATCCCGAAATAATTTTTAAAACCGCTTAAACTTGTATTTAAAACTTCTTTCACTAAAGATTGAATAAATTCAGCCAGTACTGTAATTTCATTTACCCAGAAAAGAAATATGCATATGGAAAAATCTGGCCAATATAAAAAATTCTGAACAAGTATTATTTCTCAAATTTCTTATATTTCTGTGATAGCTGTGACAGAAAATAGAAAATATTTTTGCAATGTAATTAGTGAAATTTCCTGCCTTTTTCCCAAGATATAGATAGATTCAAACTTTGGGGCATTTTGTAGGCTGATAAAAGCAGTGTGTGTATTCATTTGTTTTATTTTTTAACATTGTATTTTTTTTTTCTACAGAGATACCCTTACTGGTTGGCAGCCTTTGCCAGGGACTAAAGCAGCCATGCTGGTCAAAGTTAATAGCCTAAGAAAAGTAAATTGTTCCTCAAGCAATTCCTTTCAGATGCAAAACGATTCAGAAATCAGCAGTCAGGAATCAATGAATCCCAAAGCAGTTGTATATGCCCAGTCTCAGTCTATCGTCCCAAACTCATTAACTCCAAAATCTACAGCTCCAGTAGAGATGAAGCGTTCAATGAAAATTAAAAAGACAGAGAATGGAGGATTTTGTCTGGTACTAACTAATGGGTATACTCCTCAGCCTCCCTCAGGAAATCAGTTACAAAAATTGCCTGCATCTCCCAAATATGCTTCTCCACCTCCAATATATGATGAACCATCAATTGACTCCCCAATTTATGATGAGCCTCCTACAGATATGGATATTAGAATTACAAATATGAGTGGGACAACTCCACAATTGTCCCCAAGCAATAGCTTAAATAAGAAGATGCAACCAATTAAATTATTACAGCCTCCAAGTATACAGCAACACCAGGGTGGAAAAAAGCATTTGAGAAACCCGTCTACAACAGAATACAGCCCTGTGGGAAAAGAATATATTAAACACATGGTCAACATTGACCAGTCATCCAAAAAAACTCATTCTACCACTGTGATAGTTGATGGCATTGATAAATCCCAGTTGGGTCAGCTTAGCTCTAGGGAGAGCTTCAAGCAGTCATGGAAAGTCGTAGAAGCTAATGTTCTTAAAAATATGGAAGTCCATAATCGCCAGCAGAGCAGTGTTCAGACTCAATATCCTACAGTGATAAGTCAGCAAGACTCTGGCTATTCGACAGGTCCTTCTCCAAGTTTAAGAAAGAGAAAAGGAAGACGACACGTTCCAGGCCTGGGAAGACCTTGTTCTGTAGGCAGCAACAGCGAACTTACTGTGCTGAATGACAAGCTTATTGCAGAGATGCGTGCAGTAGTGAATAGATCTGCTGCCTGCAGGGGGAGCAAAGGTAGTTTAGATGCAGAAATGCTAGACAACATGAGTATGCTAGAAGGTAATAAAATTAAGTTTCAATCAGACTACTTTAAAAAGTGTAATAGCAGGAACTCAAGAGATGATCTTACATCTAGTAACAGGTCATTATATAGGCCTACAATGGAGGGTAAAGGCCTCTCAAATGATCCAGCAATACAGCAAGATGTGGTGAGACAGAAGAGAACTTATGAAAAAATAGATTCTTTAGAAAAGAATGTGTCCAGCTTGATAAACCCATCATCATCAGACACAGCACAATTATCAACACAGGTATTTATTATTATCAAACCATTTTAATCACTATCATATTAGAGTATTTATTTATTGTCGGAAGGTCAGGCATTTTCTAGCCCTGGAGATGGTGAAATCGTCAGGTATACACTTAACAATTATAAGTTTTAATTTAATTAAAACATGTTTACATACTTTATACTATGCTGGGAGTGAAAAATTAATCTATACCACTAGATCATAATACAAGGTATATGAGTTTAATGCTATGGTTAAAAGATTTGTTTCTTTTGTTTAATAGTTCGATATTAATGTGAAGTTTTACTAAAATTGCTAAGTTTTATTCAATAATAATACTCCCAGGTAAGATATAATATACCACAAATAAGTCAAGATTATAGGTTTTCATTTGAAAATGTAGATGGTAGAAGGCAAAAATAGATTGTATTTTTATCTAGGAGAGAGAGCGAGAAAGAGAGTGTAAGAAAAATGTTATGCTATAATTGTAAATTATTTACAATTTATGCCAAATTATTGCCCTATATAGAATATTATTGATTTTTCTACGTATACTATTTTGATATATTTTACCAAAAATGACAATTTTCTTATATTTTGCTAGGCATAATACATTAAATATTATTAAATGAATTAAACTACACTTCTAACAAAGATACTGAAAAATCCTCAGTACTCAAAATTGGTATTCGTTGCATAAATGGGATTGTTCATACAGTAGTGCTGTCAGATATAGATCATCCTTGACTTATGACTGCCTTTTAGCAAGCGTTCAAAGTTACAGTAGACCCCACACACACATACAAAAGCTACTTACAACAATAATACAGGAATTGAGTTACATTCTTGGAATGAGTAAAATAGAATAGTCTAAAGTTAGCCTGCATAATCCAGTCTTCTAGAATCAGATACTAGAGGTACCAGGTGAAGAAAATGACCAAATTCAGTCATTTTTGTTCAAAGAAAATTATCAACTCAGAAAGCTTTTTCATGATTTTTTGTCTGTTGTTTTTACAGTGTGGAACAATTGGGTCTGATTCTCAAGAAGAGAATAATGTTCAGTCTGGAACCAACATCAGATATCAGTTTCCCTTCCACACCATACGAAAGCCCATCTCCCAAAGCAGCATGACTGACTGGGCTTCCAAAAATCTTAATATGCATACTCAGGGCATTTTTCGTCGGAGGCTCTCCATTGCCAACATGTTATCTTGGAATGGTGGCTCCATCAAAAAGCCAATGCTTATCACCAGTAACTACACCATCAAAAAGGAAGCCTGTGAAATATTTAAACTGGTACAAATCTATATGGGTGACCGGCAAGCCAGAATGGACCGCAATAATGTCGCTTTGATGACCATCACCAAATGCTGGAGTATTCAAGGTTTACGGGATGAGCTGTACATTCAACTAATCAGACAAACAACAGACAATATGTGCTACCAAAGTCTGGCACGGGGCTGGGAACTTATGGCAATTAGTCTGGCCTTTTTCTCCCCATCACCCAAATTCCAATCTTATCTGGAAGGTTACATCTATCGTCACCTCAGCCAAATCGCAGATGAAAATAGTACGTGCTTTATTTAATAAAGTAAATTACAGTACTTTAAACAGCTGTAGATGAAATAAAGTAAATTATAATAGGGGTACCTATTATACCCCATTGTATTACCATAATACAATGCAGTGCATAGTACTAAATATGTTCAGGACGAAAGCTTGCTTTCTTCCCTATAAAATGCAGTATGTGTTGGCCGAGAACCTAGCTTCTTTGGCCTAGGCAAAATGAAAAAGAAAAAAAATGAAGGAAAAAAAAATTCCTTGTAATGTTTAGTGGGTTTATCTCTCTTTAGATTTAATGGTAGAGATTCAGTTTCATTAAAACAAAAACTTTATATTTCTATAAAAGAAGAATATTTTTGATAACTTTCCAAGAAATTATTACAAAGATTGATTGAATTAATTAATTAATTAATATAGTTGCATGTGACTCTGGGAAGTATACACAGTTAAAACAAAGTAAATCAACATAATTTAACTATTAAAACCAATTAAATATTAACATTAAATTATGAGATATATAACTCTGCATTTGAGTGAAATTTAATTCCTAGTGACTACAGGAGTGTTTTCTTGATAACAGTATGGAAGTTAATTGCCCTTGCCTTCTTCCAGGAAGTTTTTCAACGGCACAATCTAGCCTACAGTCCTGGAATTGCTTAATAATCTTTCACCCAAGATCTAAAGAGGCCTAATCTTGTTTAGCTTTTGTACTCAGACAAAATTGTTTTCCCATCTAAGCATATATAATTAACTGCTATGTGTTTAAAGTTTTTTTTTTTACATTTTAGGCTGAATACTGGAAAAAACTGGATGTTTATACAAGGACGTTTTTTTCATTCTTTGGTATTCTGAAGTTTACTGAAAGCAAATAATTAGTTAAGAATCTCTTTTATATCCCAGGATTCTAATAGCATAAAGTCCAGATAGAGCACAGTTCATACTGGTTTGAAAAGTTTGGGGAAACAAACATTTTAGATACTTAGTCAAAATAATAATTTGAGAAACAATATTTTAAATTCCAAGCCTCTTTTAGATTGTATACATTGTTCAAATAATTTGTGAGATATTAAGGTTTGGGCCTTAGACTCATGTTATTGCTTGTGATAAGTGTAAAGAAAAACAACAGATACATATGGGCAAATTATATTTCACAGGGAGATGCACTTTGGATTTGTTCAATGAAGTCAACCTTGTGCAGATGGAAGAGGACAGTAAATATTTGACTGTCTTGCCATCACTCAATTAAAAATACTTTGTATTTTCAGTTACCCAACGCATTAAGGAACTTCTGGATCTGAAAAACAAAAAGAACTCAAAATCCAGGAAAAAGAGAAAACAAAGCACAGAGGATGAAGGTAAAACATATAAGAAAACAAAAATCAGCACATATCTTTGTTTGGGTATCACAGATATTTTGCACCCATTATTGCGATTGTTTGTACTTTAATATAGGTAAATTCAGTCTGGAGCATATGCAAGTATCAACAATACAGAAATAGTAACAAATGCAAAATGAACTAACTACTAGTGATATCTATAGAATTTATTTTGTTATTCATTCCGTAGAATATTTTATATAGTAATCTAATGTATTAACATTGCATCTGTAAACTCTAAGATTAACTATAAATAAATACTGCCTCAATCTACGGTCTCATTTATTTCAACAGAACTTGTAACCAAATAAACACAGTTTGGGTTGCAACCTTACTTTCATAAAGCAGTTGGGATCTTTCCATCCAGATGGGGTCAGTTATAATCATTGGCTCCAAGCCTCAAAAAAGTCCAGCAAAAATGCTAATTTGGTCATACTTCTGTGCAGATGGTCTTCTTTTTCCATTTCTTTGTAATCTTAGAATTTCAATTCAGTCCAATAGCTGATGCCTATTTTTAAAAATCCTAATAATTAAGTGCAGGCAGCTTCTGCTATCAGTAAAGGAAAATATTTGTAGTTTAGGGTTGAAATGAGGGGTCCTTGATGCTCTCTGAACTTGCTTGTTTTCTTGCAGACATTTCGTTACCCTAACTAGGTAACATCATTAATGCCAGTTTCTGCTCTTGTCACAGCCTTACCTACTAATACATTTTTCCATTGATAAACTGTATCCAACTCCCCCCCTCACACACACACCCCTATATTCCACCTAGATAATTTTCATTCTTATTTTAAAAAGTGTTTCACCTGATCTTAAGGCTGCTCTGTCTACTGGTATGCTTTACTCTGAGCAGTTTCTGATTATTTTAATGTATTGTCTTGCATCAAATGTAATATTAGTTAGTACTGTGAGAATTAGGTGTTCAACAGAGTGATGGCTGAAGGGAAGAAACTGTCCCTTTGCCTATTTGTTTTGACACGCAATGCCCTATACTATAGCGAACTGAGGAGAGAAGTAGAAATAGTTTATGTCCAGGCTGTGAGGGGATCTGTAGATATTTTTTCAGCTGTCCTTCTGTCCCACGCAATATTGGCATAACTTCATATTATGTAAGATTAAAGGCCTTTTTATCGCCATATTCTTCACATTAAATAGATACATAATTACGGGAAGCCCCCAATATGATATCAAACAACAGCAATTTTTTGAAGCAGGAGGCCTCTGATGTTGGAGATAACATACAGCTGTTATAGCTAAGAGTCATTGTTACTTTTGTCTTCATAAATCAGTTTAATCCCTTTTTTAATTCTTTTATATTGGTGATCCTCTCCAAATTTTATGCTAGTTGATTTATGAAATTTCTTATTTGCCTTATTAAAAGTGCTTTATTTTGTTTATCCTGAGTCTTCAATCTATCAGATTCATTAGGTAATTGAGATTTGTTTGATAATCCTTGGATGTCTCATTTTCCCCTATATTATGTATGATGTTATAAATGTTTTAAAACTAAAATTCCTTAAATGTTTTGGACTTCCCCTATGTAAATTTGTCCAAATCTACACTAGTGTTTCCAATGTATGATATACATTGGAAATGTATAATATCCTTTATTAGATGCAGCTAACAAAAGTGCATGCAGCATTTTGAGTGTAATTCTCTATATATTTGTGCAGTTGTATGCAAAAATGTAGGCAGTTCTGGGGGAAAGTTTGTATTTGTATGTTATGATTTTCGAATGAGTTAATAATACAGATTTGTGGATAAAACAAACTTTTGAAATAGTTTAGAATTGGGAGAATAAATGGTCCAATTATTGCCACTAAAAGTGTATGGTATTTTTATAGCACTCTTCACCAAGGAATGTAAGATATTCTCCTAGCTCAAACTACCATAAATGAATTGAGTACAAGAGAAAAATACTTTCAGAAAAAACAACTGCACAACTATTTTCTTGGAGAAGGCTGTCCAGATTAATTTCAACAACAATGTGTCTATGAATGTATGTAGAATTCTTAATATTTAATGATAAGATTTAGGATTAGAGAAGATGTACAGATATTCCTGCTCTGGGATCATTTTCTTTTTAAAGGAGTTTTCCAGGGCCACTCTAATTAGTTCATTTTTATCTGCTAGGTCTACCAATCAGCACTTATGCCAGGTATTGTTACCGAAAGCTGCAAAAAGTAGCAATCACTGGAGGCAAAAAAGTGAGTAATTAGAAATATTTTTTTCTTTTTCCTTTTTTATCACTATAACTATTGAGATTGCTTTTATTAGCAATGAGAATAAATAGACTCAAAAAGTGCAGATGTACATTCTTATTGTACTATTAAGGAACTGAAAACAAAATCTGAAACATACAACTTTCTGCATCGACATTTGTCTTTACATTTAAATTCCATCTTCCTAATCATTCTCTTATTTTGTATGCCCATAATTAACATTTTTGTAAGCAGGATAGTTACATATATTTATATCCACTATATTAGTACTGAATTTCAGTTTATATTCTTATTTCTTAATTTGATTTTTATTTTCTAGCCAGGTATAAAACCTGTTCCACATTTTGTAATAGTCCGAGTCATCTCTTTCTTTGATCTCCATTGTTAATTTGTCCATTTCAGCGCATTCAAGGATCTTTTTAATTATTATTTCTTCAGATGGTGTATTGGTCAGCTTCCACATTTGTGCTAAAGTAATTCTGGCTGCTGTTAGAATATGCAATGTAATATAGTACAGACTTTTTTCCATTTTTTATCAATCATTCCTAGGAGGAACATTTCCGGTTTTAAATCCATTTTTTGGAGTGTAATCTCTTCCAACCACCTCTTAATTTTGTGCCAAAATTTCCTCACACTAGGGCACATCCACCACATGTGGTAGTATGTCCCTAATTTGTGGCCACATCTCCAACATTTGGGTGATAGGTTAGGGTACTTTTTGCCAATCTCGCTGGTGCTAAATCCCATCTATAAAACATTTTATAGCTGTTTGCTTTATATGATACTGCCATAGTCAATTTATAATTTTTTTCCCACAATTTTTCCCACTTTTCCAATTCTATAACTTTATATAAGATTTTGTATTCCCGTGTAACTACTAGCAATTAGCGTTGAAAATAATGAGCCAGGGAGAGCAGTGTTTTGAATCAGAATCAGTATGTTGCAGCTAATTCTGTAGACGCTGCCATCATGCTGGGAGTTCGCATAAATAGATGCAAATTGCCACTGACAAAATCTATAACTCTTATTTTTCAGAATGTCTCAATGTTTTGATAGAGTAATTGAACTCAGCATGATATTGTATGTTTGGAAATACAGTAAAGATAAACAATATATGTAGGAAAAAAGCTCTTTGAGTTAAAGTTAATTTGTCAAGTTCAAAAGAGCAAAAAAAGCAATAGTTGAACAAAACAGAATTAATAAAATATCTAATCACCTTTCAGCTTTTGAGAGGAGAAAAGGAAAGGGAATGCACAATCTCAGTCTTGATATAACACATGAACTTTGATCATTTTTAAGCATATGAATACATATAACCATCACAAAATTCTAAAATATTAGCTACTGTTAGACAGTAATGGTCAGTTTGTATGGTCCCATCTGATGATGATCATAGTGAATGAAAGACTGACTTGGAATATAGGAATAATAGATGATAAACAGTAAGAATTAATGATAACAAAAAGATCAATGTGTATCTATGAAACTAAGAGAAACAGAAGATCTGTATGAAAATGCCCCAATCTTATTTGTTTTGACAACTTATTTGCCACTTTATTTCCAGAGACTCTGACCAGTATCCATAGAATAAAATTAGCCCCCACAAAAAAGAATCAGTACAGTAATACTCAAATCAGTCCAGTTCCCTACAATTTGTGGGTAGCATGAACTTATTTGTCTCTACACTGTCCAAAAAGGCAATAAAATGCAAATGGTTGAACTATCCAGGGTTAAGCTGTTCTGTTGCAGATAGGTACATAACTAAAAGAACTAAGCCTGGAATACCAAAAAATGGTATTCCTTTGTAATGAGACCTGAGCAATTCTCTCCCCAGATATTACTAGACAAGCAGACCCAACTCAATAATTAGCCCCTGAGCCACATAGAAATTTAAAAGTAACTATCGGCACCTTGAATTGCACTAGAAGTTAGTACAACTTCCAAAATAGTGATATGAAAAAATACAGTGAGGCCATTTGCTCATTTAAAGAAAATGGATTAGGATTAAAGATGTGCACGAAACAAAAGTGAATGGGTCAAGAAGGGGAAGACCAAGAAATTTGTGACTGGGAAAAGTTAATAAGGTATTTTATAAACAAAAATTTAAAGACAAAATGCTATGTATGAAGTGTAGTATGGGTGTGGTGGAAGCCAATAGTCTTTACAAGGGTAGAAAGATATGGGGAAAATGTAGTGAATTTATTTTTTGCACACATTTCTTTTTAACTATATTATTATTATTTCAACCCTTTAATTCTCTAACTTAAGCTTTTTTCTGTTTTCTTTTTATTCTGCATAACATTGCATATTCCAAAGAGAAGTTTTGGGATGCTTGTATGTATGCATATGCTTAAAAGTGATCAGTTAATAAGTATACTCCTAAAAAGAAAACTCATGAGTATATTCAGTATCCAATTTTGTAACTGGTTTTTTAATTTTTTAAAAAAAATTAAAAATACCTTTCCTTTTGAAATCCCCATCTTTCTTCTTCTGATAATATATTTCAAAGGGGACTTCTGGCGGTGATGTCATCGTGGAGAGGGTGAAGAAATGGGGCGCCGTTTCTAGAACCCAAAAAACTCTCTGTTAGAAGCTCTTATAGGGCATTCTTGAGCCTGTAGGCATCGGGAAATAAAAGGGGAAATTCCGAAGCCCCTGGGTGACACGCTATCGTCAGGGAGAATAAAGGAAAAACCCCTTTAAACCTGGTGGAGAGGAAATCGGCCTTTAAGGCGGATAGGAGCTATGGTGGCCGCCTAGAGGGAAGCAAAGAGTGAAAACAGCAGTTTCGAGTGGCAGAAATAGACCCAGAAGGAGAAACCGTAAAAACACGGAGAAGTGCAGAGTGAGGTGGGCGCGAAAAGGACGGATTAACAAGTGGCGGCGATTAAAGGAGAAGCGCAGCAGGAGAGGAAGATAACAGTGCGAGAGAAGGAGGAACCCAGGAAGTGAGTAAGCAGAATCGGAGGAGTGACAGAGTTAAGATCTGAGACGGAGACGGAGAGAACTGGAGAGAGTGGAAAATTGGAGAAATCAAATAACTTTAAATACTCTAAATACTTTAAAAGGTAAAGAAGAAAATAAGAAACTTTTGGAAAATTTGTGGGATTTAAACTGTGATTGGTGACTGAAATGGACTGAAGGTGAGAGACGGAGATTGGAAAGAGGACTGATGTTATTGTACGATAGAAAATAATTATAATTATAACTACAAGCAAGATTGAAGAAGAGAAGGAGCATCAAATAACAACAAGGAAAGAATAAATATATATTCTTATTCCTATATACAAATATGTGGGGGGGAGAGGAATTGTATTACAGTTATTTATTAATTTTATAATTACGGAATATAAAAGAAAAAATAAGTAAATTAACTATAATTACATTGATTTGCAAGATAATTAATAATACTGTGATATTGTGATACTGTTAGTGTGTCATAGTACTATGTTATAGTATATATTTACATAAGTAGAATAACTGAAAATATATAAAAGATAAAGATAAAGGTGTGTGTATAGGAGGAGAAAGATCAACGATAAATATTTATATATTAGTGTGGGAAAACTTCACATGAGCATTAAAAATGCTGTCTTTAGAAGGGCATATGACAGCCGTGGCCAGGGGGGCTTTTTGTCAGGTTCGCCTGATACGCCAGTTGCGCCCCTTTCTGGACCGGGACTCCCTACGCACGGTCACTCAAGCACTCGTCACTTCTCATCTGGACTATTGTAACGCTCTCTACATGGGGCTCCCCTTGGGGTGCACCCGGAGGCTCCAACTGGTGCAGAATGCGGCTGCGTGGGGGATTATGGGAGCGACGGGGCGCTCCCATGTGACTCCTCTCCTGCGCGAGCTGCATTGGCTTCCGGTGGACTTCCGGGTGCGCTTCAAGGTGTTGGTGATCACCTTTAAAGCGCTCCATGGCTTAGGGCCAGGGTACTTACGGGACCGCCTTCTGCCACCAATAGCCTCCCACCAGCCGGTTCGCTCCCACAGAGAGGGCCTCCTCAGGGTGCCATCGGCCAGACAATGCCGGCTGACGACCCCCAGGAGGAGAGCCTTCTCTGTGGTGGCACCTACCCTATGGAACAATCTACCCCCAGAGATACGAGTGATCTCCGACCTCCGGATTTTTCGTCGGTCCCTAAAAACTTATTTTTTTCAGCTACCCGGTCTGTCCTGATTTTAGGGTTAGTTTTAAAATTTTAATATTTATTTTAATTGACAAGTTTTAAATTATGGGCCAAATTTATAAATTATTTTAACATTATTTTTTAACTGTGATGTTTGTATAGATGTTTTTTATCTGGCTGTTCACCGCCCTGAGTCCGAAAGGAGAAGGGCGGTATAGAAATTCGAATAAATGAAATGAAATGAAATGAAAAATGTCAGCTATAACCACTATAGCGAAAACAGGAAAAAAACCAACTGTAAATTCTACAACAACAGTGGCATCACCACTACAGCAAAGAACAATAGATACCATGATAGGAAAAGGAAAAGAAAAGCCGGAAATAACACTAAATGCTATGCAGAATATGTTTCAAATGATTCAAGAAACATTATTAAAAACACAAGAAAAAATTCTGGATAATCATGAAGAAATGAAAATGTTCCATGCAGAAATCAAAAATGAAATAGGAGAGGTTAAGGAGTATATTAAGAACATGAATGACAAAATTAGAGATATCCAACAAACAATAACAGAAAACGAACGAAGAATTAAAAAAGCAGAAACAAAAATAGACCAAGTAGAGACAAAAATGGAAGCAATGGAGCAAAAAGCGTTTCAACTAAATAAGGAACTGTCCGACTCAATAGCGACGCTTGAGATGGAGAAAGCTTCATATTTCTTGTGCTTTCAGAATATAATAGAAGAAAAAGATGAAGATTTAGGAGAAAAAAGAGAAACAAAGAGAAATATTAAACATACCGATAACTAAACTCGAATTGGAATTGGCACTGAAAAAAGAATAAAACAATAAAACACTGGGCCATACGGGCTACCGGTGGAACTATACAAAAACGTACAGGAAATATTGGAAGAAACCATTAGAACTATATAACGAGGCTTTGGAAAAGGCAAAAATCCCGACAACCTGGACAGAAGCAATAATTACTATTATACCCAAAGAAGATACAGACCACCAGTTAATTCAAAATTACAGACCAATCTCCCTGCTAAATACAGATTACAAGATATTTGCAGCAATTATAACGGAAAGAATCAAAAAAGGATTAAATAATCACATATACTCGGACCAAAATGGATTTCTACCAGGCCGTCAAATCAAGAATAATATGAGGATAATAATAAACACACTAGAGTACTACGAATCACATCCAGAAAAGCAAGCTTCACTGGTTTTCCTTGATGCCAAAAAAGCATTCAATAATCTAAATTGGAAATTTCTAATGGGACAACTAAAAACTATGCAATTCGAGACAAAATTTGAAAAAATTATAGGGGAAATTTATACAAAACTAACGGCAAGAATAATTATGAATGATGATACCACAGATCAATTCGGCATAATAAAAGGGGTTAGGCAGGGATGCCCACTTTCTCCACTATTGTATATTTTAACATTGGAGATCCTTCTAAAAAAGGTCAGGGAAGACCAAGAAATTAAAGGGTTAAGGATAAGGAGAGAAGAATACAAGGTTCAGGCCTTCGCTGATGACCTTGTTTTTATAGTAGAAGAACCACTAGAGTCAGCACCAAAACTGTTTAAAAAATTAGAAGAATTTAGAGAAGTGGCAGGATTAAAAATAAATAAAAACAAATCAAAATTAATAACAAAAAATCTCACAAAGGAATAAGAAAAAGAATTGGAGAATATTATACAAATTCAAACAACTAAGAAAATAAAATACCTAGGGATTTGGCTATCGGCAAGAAGTTCAGCAATAAAAGAAAATAATTATGATAAATTAATAATACAGATAAAGAAAGACTTAGACAATTGGAAAAATTGACAGATATCATTAATGGGAAGGATCTCCACCATTAAAATGAATATTTTACCAAAAATTTTATTTTTATTTCAGGTCATACCAATAAAATTGGAAAAAAACTTTTTTGAAACATTGAGTAAAATACATCTAAATTTATATGGCAGGGGAAGCGCCCACGTATTAAACTTAAATTACTACAAGACACAAAAGACAGGACGAACAGCACTCCCAGAATGGGAAATTTACTAACAAGCAGCTGGGTTATCCTGGGTAAAAGAATGGATGGAATTAAAAAATAATAGAATACTAACAATTGAAGGACATGAAATACAAGTGGGTTGGCACACATTCCTCTGGGACAGAAAATACAAAACACATACCTATTTCAAAAGACATACAATAAGGAATGCACTATTACAAACCTGGTTAAAAATTAAAAAATAGCACTACACGAAAATACCGATTTGGCTTTCACCATTAGAAGCAGTAAGACATCCAAATTTAACAGAATTTAAAAAGGTAATAAGATATAAAGATTTAATAGAACAACAAGGAAAATTGAAACCAAAACAACAGTTGGAAATGGACCTGAATAGAGAAATTGATTGGTGGACCTATTCACAAATTCAATCTAAATATAAGGAACATACAAAAACACATGAAATTCAAAGAGAGAAACAAGAATTAGATAAAATTATATTAGAATCAGAAGAAAAACTAATTAGCAAAATTTATAAATTTTTATTACTATATAAAATGGAGGAAGAAACAATGAAGAATACAATGATTAAATGGGCGCAGAATTTTAATTATACAATAGATTTGGAGAAGTGGGAAATAATGTGGCAAGTGAATGCAAAATTAACACTCGGTGGCATACAAGGAAAATCAGTTGAAGATGTTTTACAGATGGCATCTGTCACCGACAAGACTGGCAAAGATACACCCGAATAACATGCAATTTATTTCTTACATGGAAATGTAAGAAATCCCAAGGAACATATTACCATTTATGGTGGGCGTGTCTGGCAGCAAAAAAATTTTGGTCAAACATTAAGAAATGGATAGAACAAATAACAGAAAAACAAATAGAAAAGAAGCCAGAAACATTCTTGTTAGGAATTTTTACAAAACCATATTCCAAAGAAATAAAATATTTGATGCTACACATTTTAACAGCAGCACGAATAACGTATGCAAAAAACTGGAAACGGGAAAGAACCCCAACGGAGTAAGAATTAATAGATAAGATCTTAGAATGCGCTGAGATGGACAGATTAACAAAAGAAATTAAGGAAAAAGAAGAGACAGAATATTATAGAGTATGGAATAAATGGTATAATTGGCTTAAGACTAACAATAAAGAATAATAACTATTAGAAGACAAAAATAGAAGTACAAAATAGAGATGCATTATATGCGAGGAGTGGAATAAAAATGCATATAATATGAAAGTAGAAATGTATAATAGTAAAGAGAACTAAAATGTACAGTTCTCTATAGGGAAAAAAGAAAAAAGGGGGGGGAAGAAAAAGGAGGGAAAGAAGATGGAGTAATAGATTAAGATAAAGGGGAAGAAGAATAAAGTAATAGCTGGAAGACCACTAAGAAACAATGCTTAAATATGATAAGTTATTTATATGTTGTATGTTGTGTAAATGTCCAATATGTGTTCTAATAAAATTACAAATTTTATATTAGAAAAAAAAGATATTGTAACATTAGCATAATTGGGTAGGAAAAAATGTACAGTACAGGAGAAGGAATATAAAGAACAATAAAAATAACTTAAAACATAAAAAAAAAAGTATATTTCAAAGGTTAGCAAAATACTTTTCTCTGTGAGCATTCCACCTAAATGGAAGCTGAAATACAACATCCTTCCAACCCATTGCAAGTTTATTTAGGGGGGTTTGTTTCTTTTTTAAATTTTCTTGTTCTTACAGGGTCTTCGGAAGCCTACAGTTGAGGAGATAATACATGCCAAGAATGCTATTGTGACACCTTCATTGTTTGGCAGCTCACTGGAAGAAATCATGTCACGGCAGCAGGACATGTATCCAGATAACAAGCTGCCTTGGGTACAAACACAGTTGTCTCAGCAAGTACTGCGACTCGGGGGAGAACAGACTGAGGGAATATTCAGGTGAATATCTAACTACAACTGTTTAAATGATGCAGTAGTGATAGCCATCAACACTAGATCATTCATCTATATTTGATCACATATCTTATTTCTTCTTCTTGAGAGTAAGTATCTTAAGATTTCATATATAGAGTTTTAGAACAAAATATGCTTATAGGAAATGCAAGCATCTTACAACCTTCTTCTTCAGAACAAGTGCCTCTATGCTGGTGCTTGCGAGAGAGGGAGGGAGGGAGGGAGGAAGATTTCCAATGCTCTCTGTTAGATTTTTGCAAGGAAATCAATGGGGAAGCTGGCAGGATGTTGGAAATCACTCATGTTGTATTTTAGGCTGCTCTTACTCATTCTGTTTCTCTGTTTAGGTAAGGAAATATTTCTGAAACAATGACACAACAGGTCATTGGTTGTCTACTTACTATTAAATATGTATCTATCTCTTAGAAATGTTTCTTATTTGTGATACTAATTGCACTTTCTTCTGGGTATGTATGATTTTCTGCCTGAAATTCAGCTTTATTGTTGTCTGTGTATGCTTTCAGAATTCCTGGTGATATTGATGAAGTCAATGCTTTAAAACTACAGGTGGACCAGTGGAAGATTCCTACCAACCTTAGTGATCCCAATATACCAGGTATGGCAAAATAAGAAAACAGCAAAACTATTGAAAATGTAGTTGGACACCTCAGTTTGTTAGTAGTTTTAAGTTGTAAATATATATCTCTTATATATCTCCTGTCTTTCAGTTTCTACAAAACTTTTAATAATTGCTTCTGAAGAGAATAGTTGCTAGCCTAACCCTTTCTGTTCATGATTTGTGTCCTGTGATTGTCAAAAGCCTGAATCAGTGGAGCTCAATATATGGTGCTGTTTTTTGTTTTAAAAAGGATAGAGTCAGTTATTTATCTAGGAAGAGGAGGAAAGTGTATTGTGATTACTCAGGGATCCACTTTGGAACAGTAAGCACCACATATTATTTATACATTTTATGTACTTATTTTAGAACTAGCACATCAAAGCAGTTTATATTAAAACACAAAGACATAATAACCACATTAGCAATTCTAAATTAGTATAAGCATAGTACACAAACACAGATATATAAAGTTGGTAAAACAAGACAGTATGCTATAATTGTTGTAAATATCTCTGGGTGGCTTCTTGTCTTTAAAGCTTCTTTGCTAAAGCTGTGGTACCGGGAGTTGGAAGAGCCTGTCATCCCACAACAATTCTACAAGGAATGTGTCAGCAACTATGAGAATCCTGATGCTGCAGTTGCTGTAGTTGAACTTCTGCCAGAGCTCAATAAATTGGTCTTGTGTTACCTCATCCACTTTTTACAGGTACATAGATAGAGAATGCCTGAGCAGGAATCATTCTAAAAAAGCATAAAGAATCTATATGGTTTTTCTAGTTGGGAGGGTGTCATTTCACATTGTATTTGCAGATATTATGAAACACCAATTTAAATTTCTTCTATCGTCATACACCAGAGGCAGCCTTCGGTGCAAGGCTGTCTAAAGTGATTCCATTGTCTCTCTGAACATTTTCTTTTGAGGAGCTAGAGAAGCTACATTATCTTGCCTGTGACCAAACTTTTTATTTTTCCCTCTTTATTTGAGTTGTGTTTTATTTATTTTGCAGATTTTTGCCCAGCCAATCAATGTAGGCAAAACCAAGATGGATGTAAACAACTTGGCTATGGTAATGGCTCCAAACTGCCTGCGATGCCAGTCTGATGACCCCAGAATCATCTTTGAAAATACCCGCAAAGAGATGTCTTTCTTGCGCATGCTGATTGTGCACTTGGACACCAGTTTTATCAAAGGAATTATGTGAAGGATTGTTTTCTGGCAAGACAGTGCAAAAAGAGCAATTACTTGGCCCCAGCATTTCCTTTTTGGAGCCTCATATTGTTTCCTCTAGAGTTTCCAAGATCCTACAGTTCTTTGTGATGCTTTCATTTACTTATGCTGATAGTAAGGTTGATGAATCTTCAATAATCCCCAAATGATTCAAGTCAGTGACCATACTAGAAAGACCCAAAGGTGCTTTTTCAAGAGGCAACTGGACTTTCTGTTTTTTCTTTGAAGACTTTTTATTTCTCAGCTTCAGAGCTGAAGAAGAAGCAGCTTCTTGGATGAAACATCTTCAAAGAAAAAAAACAAAGTCCAGTTGCCTCTTGAAAAAGCACCTTTGGGACAACCATGACCTGGATGACTGAGAATCTTCATAGACATACTAGAAAGAATTTTGAGGCACCAGAGAGCAAAATGTTACATCATGTTCTGGGCCAGTCCTAAGACCTGCAATAGTTGTTTCCAGCAGTTCTGTATATTCAAAGCCCAAATGTTATATTGCTTTGCACTTCACTGAGAAATCTTAGTGGAATTAAAAGTGGAATTGTCTGTTGGAAACAAATTGTTTGCAGATACTGGGATTTACTTGTTACCTGAAGATTCAGTACTTCACTAGACATGCCTCATTTCAGGTAAAATTGTTACTTCAGGCTGCTAAAGTACATATTCTGCCTGGTTCTGACATTCAGATTGCTGACTGCTTTCTTCTCAAGTTTCTCTGGTATGTTTTCTGCCTTTCGAGGACAATTCTCTTACCAAAAAGAAGTTTTGAAGCAGTAGATGGGCTGTAGCTTGTGACAGAGGATGACTTTTGCTATGCCTGAGGGTACCTTACGATTAAAGTTCCAAGCGTCAATATTGTCCAAAAACAAAAATTCTCTTGAATTGAATTTTGGTACAAAGCAAAACAGCAAGAAAGTGAAACTGTACATTTCCCTTGTTTTGCCTACAGTGATTTGGGAAGAGACTATTTAAGTCTTAAGCCGCTTTTAGCTTACGTTTGCTCCTATATTGTTTGGATCAGATGATTCAGACTCAAGAAATCCTTTAATTTCTTTAATTCAGATCACTACAATTTAAGTAATTTGGATTTGGGATTTCTCCAGAATGGAGATTTATCCAGTAGGACAAATTGCAATATTATAGCCTCTTCCTCCTTATTTCAGCATAAACTAAAATCAGGTACTGAGGTGTTATAAAGCCTTTTAGAGCAAACATGAATAACTACTTAAAGGCTCCTGCCAATATCAAGATTTTGTGTTCTATTTCAGCTTATTCTAAGCAGATAAAATTATCTTTTTAAACATTGAATTAAAGAAGCTGCAAGGTGAAGAGATTTAAGTGAATAGAAGGTGCAGGTTTGGAGAAAATTAACTGTACTTCTCTTTATCACTTTCTAAATATCCTCAGTGTGCTGTTAAATGCAGAATGAAATAGAGAAGGCCAAATTATATCTGTCTTGTTTTCTTCCTGACCAGTAGCAATTTCAGAACTATAATTTGAGTTGTGACTATAGTATATAGAGGAAAATATATGTTTCCCAGTTCTCCAGTTAAAATCAAATCCGTACTACCTCCCACAACTGCATATTAAATAAAAAAAATACTGATAGCTCCAAATACAAATTTCTCACATCATGCATTATAACTATTAAAAGGTATGCTGTCTTACTCTGGACTTCATTCTATTCTTGCCTAAACATCTCTGCCTTCTTCAGAAAGACTGCTGTTCTCTGTTCGTTCAGTCCCCAGAACACATGCTGAATAGAAGGACTGGTGCTTCAGTTCTGCTTCTTTCTTTTGTTCTTATACTGCAAACACATCCCTGAATCTGAAGCCTTCAGTGTTCCTTTATGTCATTTTGGAAGTAAGTGTAATTCTTTCATCAAATTTCTGGTCAGAATAACAGGCTTGAATTTCATGGAAACAAAATGTGAATGGTCAAGGAAATAATGTTATGGAAAAACAAAAATCAACTTTGTTCATTCTTAAAAGTTGGTGCTAAGAGCTCTTCCTTTGCCAGTAAGAATATGATTTGTCCTAGACATATTAGTATTTCCAAGTCACTGGTTAGTATGATCTAACTGGGTAAAGAAATATATATTTTCCTTCTATTGCCAGAAATTATGATACTTGTTAGAAGGTTCTCACACGTTATTAATGGAATTAACATTTACTGTTTCCTTTTCGTGTCAGTTCTGCTGTAAAATTAGATCCTTTAAGATGATCTATGTTGTAATGCCAAAGTTTTTGTTCACTCTTTACCTCATAGTATTTTTTGAGATTTAGCTGCTTTTAAGGTAACAAATCTGGAAATATTAATTTCTAGATTCCAAATAAGGCCATCTTTTGAGAGTTTGTTATGAATTATATATACATCTATGCAGCAACATATGGATTATCCTGGGGTAAAGGCTATATTATTTGTGGGTTCTTACAGAAAGAGTAATGCAGCATTTCTCATCCAGGGATCATCCAAATATGTAGATTTTATTTCCCAGAATTCTCTAAATAGCATAACTGCCTAAAAAATCTGAGAGTTGAACTGTCACATTTCAGTTTGGGGGGGAGGGGCAGGGAGAAACTGGAATAAGGCAATATATCACATACCTATTTCAACTATGTTATCAGGCAGACACAAGTGATACCCATGGATCTGTACGTAATTGATACTTTAAACCTCACTAAACCCAAAATCCAGGCATTGATTATGATACATAAAGTTTCATTTGATGTAGTTGATTAGCCTGAGATTTCTGAGGAGTTAAGTGCTTTTCAAATAGGCTTCTCTACTAGAATTTGGCTAGTCCTCTTGATAAAATCAGAAATGGGATCTTAATTCTAAATAATAAGGATTAGAATCCTATTAATTTGTACTTGGAGAAAGCCCCATTAAACTCAGTGGGATTGACTTCTGAGTAAACATTCATGTGATTGTTAAAATATTGGGTTATATCTAACATAATCCTTTCACTATTGTACACTACTGACAATTCAAATTCAGAATTATTTTTGCAGCTTCTAGGTGTCCTCCAGATCAGTTTTATAGGACAAGGAGATGAATAGAAGCGATTACTGTTTGAAGAGAAATACATTCACACATAACAGATGTAGTCCATCATGCTTTTGGTATTCCTCAGACTTACCAAAATGAGAGTTTCTTGAGCCTATTTCTATGACGATGTAGGAGATTCTGGATTTCCTTAGACTGGTTCTGTTTGTGCTATAAGTTTTCTATCCTGCATCTTTGTACAATGGGAAATATTAACCAATATGCAAGGTGTCATATATCTACCCTACTTTTTTAAATTTTGTATTTATTAATTTGTTTTAAGATGTTCTCTGATGCACACGTTTCCAGGTTTAAACACTGTTGACAACTAAAATATGATGGATAATTGTCACAATTATATCCCCCCCAGCATGTCACTATAATCCAATCATAAACTGACTATTCTTTAATAATGTTTTGTCCTACCCCTTCTGGGCAGCAAAATAGGTTAAAAAATTACACTGGATTTTTCCCAATATACTTGTAAATGTGAATCTGCAAAATATACTGTCCTTGTTAAAGAATAAACATTTTGGTCAATACACCTGGTACTTTGAAAACAGGTTCATTTATTTGTAGATTTAGATCCATTGTTCCCAAATTGGTACCCTTTAGATATGTTGAACTGCAACTCCTAGTATTTCCAACCTGTCTTGGCCATAATAGCTTGGAAATCTGTACGTTATCATCCTACACTTTTGAAGGGCACAAATCAGATAAAATTGTTTTAAGTTCACTACCTGCAAGGTTGGATTCAAGTATATCAAATCAGCCATCTGAACATTTCACCATGATTATTAAGAGTACTTTCAGGTTCTTTTTAGTGCTATATTTGTATTCGTTGGTTTCTACTCATAACAGGAGCTCATTTGCTGCCATATGGAAAGTAACCCTTATGCAATATAAATGTATAGAAATGTGTTTTTTTGCTTTCAGATTCATGTTTATATATTCAAATATTTAGGCTTTTATTTAAATATATGAATATATCACTGAAGCTGATCCAGTAACTCTTCTGTAATCAACCAACAAAAATGTGATCCAAATGACAGAATCTCTGGCAGTACAGGTAGTCTTTGAGTTATAACCATTCATTTGGTAACCGTTTGATGTTACAATGGCACTGAAAAAGTGACATGACCATTTTTCACACTGACAACCATTGCAGGATCCCCATGGTCACATGATCAAAATTCAGATATGAGTCTTGGCAACTGACTCATATTGTTTCAGTGTCCTGGGGTATGTGATCACCTTTTGCCACCTTCTGACAAGCAAAGTCAATGGGGAAGCCAAATTCATATAACAACTGTGTTACTAACTTAACAAGTACAGTTATTCACTTAGCAGTTGTGGCAAGAAAGATCATAAAATGGGGCAAAACTCACTTAACTGTCTCTCTTAGCAACAGAAATGTTGGGCTCAATTGTGGTTGTAAGTCGAGGATACCGGTACAGGTCAATTTCATCCCTAGTGGATGCAAAAGACAAGGTGGTAATAAAATCAAATCTCGCCGCTAATTAGGATTCTTGTTTTCCAGAGGCAGATCTATACAAATTACCTTGTAATAGTCTATCCTGAAAATCACTAAGGCAGGTGTGAGAATGTGAAAGGAAGAAAACAGAACAGGATATCATTCACAGATAAGGTCCCTCTCTATCAGTCAGGGTTCCAAGTAACACCCCCAACCAAGTAAGACTCCGAGGCAAGCATTTCCTCAAAGTTCCATTTTATTAGAGATGTCATATTGGCACATCAGGGAAAACCCGAATCTGAAGTCTCCTGGGTTTTCCCCACCTCAAAGGAGATCCAAGTCCTTTCCCCATGCACCCACGTGTCTATCACATGGTCCAATCAGGCCACCATCCTAACCGAAGTAGCTTCCCAGTCACGCCTCTCCAGGTGCAAGTTGAATGTCCTTGACTCCCAGTGAAAGAATATTGTTGTTGTTATGGCTATACATCTCACCCCGTCGCCATCCAACCTCCCTCCCAGTTCCCACAGCATGCCCAACCGCTAAGTGTGGCAACCCTGAAGATCCAAAGAAAAAGATGGCCTCCAGGGCTGACACTATACCTTACAGATACCACAATTCCATGTTTCAATCAATTGTTACAAAAAGAGAGCACACCACAAACATTTATTTGAAAGAACGCACATATCTGAGATAAATAAAATTTTAATAGCCAAAAATTATAGAGTGTATAATCTTTAACATTTTGCCCATATTCCCATAATTCACAGTTCTCCATTTTGGTATAGTCATTTTGTTACTAATCACAATCCTATCCACAGAACCACTTTGTAACAAATATAAATGGATTAATGCATTACTTGATAAACTTTTTTCCCCTTAATAGCTAAAATTATATTTTCCCAATGCAAAAAGCAGTGTCCTGTAAACTAGAAATTCCATTAAGGAAGAAAATTTCAAAAGTCTATTATAATTTTGATGAAAAGTGCTATACACTTGTCATTATACAATTAAACCTACAGTGCAAAACTATTTACATTCTACATTTGCATTACCTAGATTCTTTAACAAAGGATTTCACTTAATATGGCTTCTATTGCATTGTCATTTTGTGTAGTATCACTAATATTGTTATATAACATGCCCAATTATTGAATTGAAGCATTAATTATATATTCTTATACTGCAATTTTTGTTCTATGCCGCTCAAGGGACAGATATGTTTGAGACAGATTGAAATAGCTACAAAATCTTATCACTAGCCCTGAATTGTATTTATATTTGGCACTTTTGACATCCTATTATAAATATGACATCCTTTAATACGGGTAGTATTCAACTTTCAACCATTCATTTAATCACTGTTTGAAGTTACAATGGTGCTGAAAAAGTATCTTACAAGAAGTCCTTGCACTTACAATAGTCAAGATGTCCCTATGGTCACATGATTACAATCCAGGTGGTTGGCAACCAGTTATGATAGCTGCAGCATTCTGGGGCCACATGATTACCATTTACAACCTTCCCAGCTGGCTTTAAGCAAGCAAAGTCAGTACTGGGAAGCCAGTAGGAAAGGTCATAGTTGTGTTCTATCTCAATGACTGTGATTTGTTTAATAACCCCAGCAAAAATCTAAAATCAGGTGTGGTTGGTTACATGATGTCTCAGTTAGCAATTGCATTGCTTAATAAATTTTCTGGTCCCAGTTGTGGTTGAGGATTACGCATAACAAAGGATTTTTCTCCATTTCCCTTTAAAATTTGCTAATTATTTTGTGATATGCCATGAAATGATGGATATTGAATGACTTGAAGGCAGTATTCACGCAGCACAGTATGCCATAGCTTTGCTTAAATACAGCTTATTAGAAAACATAATTGTATACATGACAAGTATATAGGAAAGCCAGTTTGATGTAGTGGTTAAGATGCCAGAATAGAAATTGGAGACTGTGAGTTCTAATCCTGCCTTAGGCACAAAGCCAGTTGGGTGACTTTGGGCCACTCTCAGCCTTAGGAAGGAGGCAATGGAAAGCCACTTCTTAAAAGCTCTGCCAAGAAAACTACAGGGGCTACAAAAGTTTCCATTATTAGGTTGTATAATGGAAGTCATGCAACTGTAGTATAAATTAGCTATTCAATGCTACATTTAGTTATGACTTCAAATTCCATTTTCTGCAAAAAAAAAAAAGTTACAGATTTGCATGATATAGCAACTAGTAAGACTGCAAATTTAATTGACAAGATCATGTGCTAGTACAGTGATGGCTAACCTTTTCTGGACTGAGTGCCCAAGGCACGCATGTGTGAACAAGAATGCGCACATGTGTGCCCAAACCCCAAAAATGCAATGCGTGCACGACCCCTGAACATGTGCCCCGCCCCCTGTGTAGACCCGAAGACCAGCTGGCCAGCAGGAGGTGCATGCGCATGTGCAGCAAACTGAACTGGGGTGATGGCTTGTGTGCCATCAGAGAGGGCGCTGTGTGCCACTTCTGGCACACGTGCCATAGGTTCGCCATCATAGTGCTAGTACGTGTGGTGAAAAGAGTTATAATGGTGTATCTAACCTCAACCACATAATGTACTACAGGCACTTATTGTGTTAAACACATCAAATTAACTCAAGAGACACACAACTTGAGGTCCCAAGGCCACATGAGGTCCCGGAAAGATTTAAATGTACCCATGCATTTAGAAGGGAGATAATTTCAAAAGGTACAGATCAGAACATCATCATCATCATATCATTTAATACAGTATTTATAAGATATTCTAATCTATACAGACTGGTAGAATACAACAGCTTCAAATAAAATACAATTAAAATTATAACAACTCACTGATGGTCACTCAAACAGAATAATGGGCCAACAGCTAACTGGGACAGTAGCACTGTAAATTGCTTCCTTAAGGCAAGGACTATTGGGCCACCCATACTGGGGTAGTACATACTGGTATTTCATAATGGAAATCATTCCTGAGAAGATCTGTTGCTTGGTCTATGCCTCACAAATCTTCCAAGGAGTCGGACCTTCAACAGAATCTGTGTAAATGCTGAACAGATATTCTTTTGGGAAAGCATTGGCTGATCTAGCTCAGTCCTTCACCCTGAATGGCTTTAAAGGTAATAACTACAACTTTGTATTGGTCCTGGAAGCCTGCTGGAACCAATTCAGCAACTCCAAAACTGGGTAGGAGTTAGCCCTATCAGCAATTATAACACTGCTTGCTATACCAATTGGAGTTTCCAGGTCATCTCCAAAGGCAACCCCACATAGACCATCTAATGAAGTGATGATTAACTTGCCAATACATCCTGATCAAGGTAGGGTGGTAACTAGTCAAAGTTGGACAGTCCCCTGGCTACAGCTTCCTTCTATTTTAATAGAAACTGACAATCCAGTAGACCCCAAGTCACAAACTTAACTGTTTCAGGGGTGTATGCCCCATCAAAACTAAGTACAGGACTATAGTAAATACAGTACAGGACTTCTCAGTTGTTTAGTGGCAAGCAGCTCCAGCTTGGAATGGTTTAATCTGAGCTGCTCTTGTCCCATCAGGATCCTTAGAGCCTCCAGGAACTGATTCAGGACTTACAAGACAGGATCTTGGGCTTCAGATTTTTATACCAGGTTTGATTAGTACATGCATTGGGATTTTTCTTGGTAGTGGGCTAGGTTTATAAAATTGTATTCTTTAAAAAGTGTTTGTAAAGCAAATTTCAAAGAAGCACTTGTCTCAAAATTGTCATTTAATACCGTTTTTAAATTCCTGCAGATTTCTGAGCAAGAAATAACGCTTCTGGCATTATGTGGACGACCTAATGAGAATAGTAATAACATGTACAAGCAGCTTTGACAAGTGTCATTAGCTATTAATTATAGTGGGTGGGGCAGCTGCGCCAAGCCTCACACGTGAAGATTCGTGTAAGTATGTTGATTCGTTCATGATTTAGTGTTATATCGAGCATAATCAAGAGGAGCGAAAGAATTTTCCAGTATTTCGGATTTCTTCTAGTTTGTGGGCTTTCGATTTTGATGAAATATACGGGAGTATATGTAAGGCTTA